CTGATGAGTCGGTGAAACTCCGACGAAACAGTTTGTCACAGCCCCTCGTTTGTTGTCCTCTTCTCCCTCTCTGCCTACGGTTTACCGGGCAGTTCTATTTGACGATATATATATATGACGATATATAGTCTATACTCTATAATACACAGCAGATGGCCTTGTTCGACATCAAGAAGTTGGTATTCCTATTTGGCGTCATCGTAAGCAATTCGTACCGGGTCATCATTAAAAACAATATATATATTCTGCAGACTGTTGAGGGTTCAGCCTCTTGATGAGTCGGTGAAACTCCGACGAAACAGTTTGCCACAGCCCCTCTCTGCCTACGGTTTATATTGTCACATGAATATCAGTCGGAGAGCGCAAAAGCGAAAAAAAGAAAAAGGAAAAAATGAATTCGTTTTTTTATCTTCTTCCTTACAACTCCCCCTGTTCAGAACCTCTTGCGTACAAGGCCGCCCACGTGGATGTAGGTTGAGCGGTGGTTGCCCCCACCCCCGTGTGTCATATCGACCCACTTGCTCACAGCCAAAAGGCAAAGAGGCAAAGAAATGATGCATGCCCAATGGGACAATGCGTAGGGAGCCAAGGATCCGCAATGTGATGAAAAGGACTGAAATGGACAATGCAAGGTCAGCGTAGCATCAACAAGCAATGTACATTCCGATAGATACAAGATGGCACAAAGTGGCGCAGTGGAAGACTTAAAGAGAAGATCTGATCTGATCTGATCTGGACTGACCCGACAGCCATCATACATCACACATGTGAGAGGGGAGGAGGGACCGCAATCACAGAAGAAAGGTCCCTCCTTCACACACATACATGGGAAGATACCACGGATGAGAGATGGGGGAAAGGGGTGAGACGAAGGAGGAGGAGGTGAGGGAGTAGACCAAGATCGCGATAGCGAAGTCCCAAAAATAGTCCCTTGCCGAGTGTCCAATCAATGTCTGTCCCAGAAATGTCAAATCAGATCCTGGGCAATGTGCCCAGCATAACCTCTGCCTGTATCACCTACCAATCACCTCTCTCACTCTCGTATGTGAAGAAGAAGATAAGAAAGAGGAGGGAGGAGGGAGAAGAAGGAGGGAGAGAGAGAGATGGAGGAGGAAGAAGAAGAAGATGACGTCCTCCGTGCTATCTCACCTGCAGGTAGCTGTCCCCGTCTGACTGTGGTCGTAGTCGTGTGCAGGTACCCCGTGGAGCCCGGCTATGCGCCAGGTAAGCTTGCCGCTTGCAGGTAAGGCCTCCACCTCTCTCTATCTCCTACGCCTCTACTCCCTACTCCGTAGTGCAGCGCAGAATAGCGCTGCCTCCAACCAGCAGCATATCGCTCTAGAAGTGAGCTATCCGAACTGTCCTTGCCCAGCCGCGGCCCTGCTATTTGTAGCGCTGGGTGGGCTGGGCCTACCTGATGCTGGCCTCAGAAAAACGGCCCAGCTGGTCTGGGTCCCTACCGGACGTCCAGACGATGCTGCTGATGCAGCAAGGCGCAGAAATGTGCCTGGCCCAAAAATGGCCCCGTACCTGTGCACCTAGCCCAAGGCGTCGCCTTGGGACCCGCAAGGCCGAAACGACGTCTGCACTTACTGGTCTGGCACCAAAATGCGCCTGGCCTCGTTTCGGGCCGGCCTCCGGTGTACCCAGTCCCAAAGTTCGGCCTTGGGGCTGCAAGTCTGATACGGCACCTGAACAGACAAAGTAAGACAGCACACACTCGCAAAAAGGTAAGTAAAACTAAACCTATCTAACTAGTGTGCTACCTAGGGCCCGGAGGGCCGCCGTGGGCCTCCAGGGCGCGTGCTGTATGGTACGCGGCCTGGGGGCCCCTCAACAACCGTCGGGCCCCTCAAATGGGGCCCGTGTGCAGACGCAGCATGTAACACTCCCCCCTCCTTATGAAGTGAAGCCGGGTCAAGGGTGAAGCTGACGATCTGAAGGTGGAACCTGGACGCGGGTGCGGCGTGGAGCCGAAGATGCCGGCTTGCCTTGCAACTTGCGTTCGTATCGTGCGAGGACATCGGGAGTTGTTGCTTGAAGTTCTGCACGGGTCAACCATCGGTCAGCTCTATGGGTGCAATATGCAAAATGGGCCAAGAATTCAGTCGGACTGTTGCCGTAACGTCCCTGGGATATGATGTCGCCAACCTCTTGGAAACCGTCCATCGAGGGTGGGTCTTGAGATCGTCGCCCGGGAAAGTTGTCAAGTTTCGCTGGTGTGTAGAGAGCCAACTTGGAACAGTGAAAGACCGGGTTGACGGGCAAGTGGGCGGGCACGTGAATGATAAATGAAGGTCCTTTGGGTGCGTCCCCAGCGGGTGCCACAATGGCTAGGGGCCCATCCATTTCGGAAGGAGCTTGCGAGAGAGATCTTTTTCGAGGCTGAATTCCGCAGCGGAAACCCATACGAGGTCGCCGGCGCGAAATGGACAAGGAAGACGCTGGCGGTTGGCCTGTTGGCGCATACGTTGCTACGTCTTTGACATCTGCTCGCATGCCTTGACAAGAAGCTCTTGCATGCGATGAATGAAGAGAAGATGGTCGTCGCTCTCGGTCGCCCGTGGGATGATTGTGTCCAACGGAGAACTGACCGGCGAGCTATGTTCAAACTCAAAGGGCGACATCTCGATAGCCGGATGGATGGACGAGTTGTATGCCAACTCAACATCCGGCAGCCGCTCAACCCAATCCTTTTGGTCGGGATGGAGAGTGCGAAGAAGGACCTGTGCGGTCTGATGTGCCCTCTCCGTTTGGCCATCGGTTTGGGGGTGGCGAGCCAAACTCGGCTTGAGGGACCAAAAATCGAACATGAACTGAGTGTCACGGTCGCAGACGATTTCCTTGGGGTAACCCTTGGTTCGAATCCAACCAGCGTAGAGAACCTCTGCCAAGTCTGGTGCCTTGGGGTGATAGCGGCAAGGAAAAAACATGGCAAACTTGGTGAGTCGGTCAACCACCGTGAGAATCCCATCCACATCCGTCTTGTGCTTGGGGAACGGGTAATGTCCATGGCAATCGCTTCCCTTCGGCGCAAGGGGACCAGTAATGGTCGCAGTTCGCCGTACTGACGATGATTGCGGGATTTGCAACGTCGGCAAACCTCACATGACTCGCAATAGCGCGTGACGTCGTCGAGAAGACCGGGCCACCAAAAGCGTTCGCGGAGTCGGCCAATCGTGCGATTGACTCCAAAGTGTCCGGTGGCGGGGGCGTCGTGGAACTCGCCAAGAAGCCGCGTGCGCAAGTGTGAATCTTGCGGCACACAAAGTAGATCTTTCCCCCTCGAGTGAACGAGCAAGTATCCCTCTTGGATCCGATAGTGTGAAGGTGTTGGATTGGGAGAGGAACAATTTGCGTAGTTGTCGCGAAATTCGGGGTCGGCTTGATAGCCGCGGATGAAACTGTCCCGCAAGTCATCCTCTATCTCGAAGGTTGAGTAGACTGCGGTGTAGTGATCCGGACGCCGGGAAAGAGCATCAACAAAACGGTTTGACTTCCCCGGAATGTGATCGGGAAGGAAGTCGAACTGGTCGATGAAAGCCATCCAACGAGCGATCGTGCTGTTGATGGTGTCTTGGGTCCTGTTGAAGACCAACGAATTGTTGTCCATTACCCATCGGAATTGGTGTCGACCAAGGAGGAAGTGTCGTCACCGCTTGAGTGCATGGATGAAGGCGAGAAGTTCCTTCTTGTGTGCATCATCAATTGAGTGCACGACCGACACTTTCATGCTGAAGTATTTGATCGGGTGCCAGTCCACGCCATCATGTTGTTCGAGGACGACACCAATGCCATAGCCGGACGCATCCGTAGTGACGCGCGTTGGTAATAGCGGGTCGTATATGCGCAAGACCTCCGCAGACAGCAATGCAGCCTTGAGGGCCAAAAATGATTCTCACGCTTCCGTCCCGAAGTCAAATGACCGGTCCTCGCATTGAAGCTTGGATAAGTGAGCCGAGATCTTCGAGTACCCTTTGATGAAACGTTGGTAGTAGCTGGCAAGGCCAAGGAACGAACGAACATTCGTGACGTTCCGCAGCTCCGGCCAATCTTGGATGCCTTGAATCTTGTTCGACAACGGACTGATTCCTTGTGGAGTGACGAAATGGCCCAAGTATTCCAACTCTTGACGTACAAATTCGCACTTGTCGCGGTTGGCTTCGTACTTGGCGCGATGGAGCATCTCCAACACTCGTCGAAGATGCTCGAGATGTTCCTCCAAGGTTCGGCTATAGACGAGGATGTCGTCCAAGTAGACCAGCACGAACCGGTCTAGCATTGCACGAAACTCATTGGTCATCGCCACTTGAAAAGTCTCCGGGGCGTTGGTGAGTTCGAAAGGCATGACGACCCACTCAAAATGCCCGTACCGTGGCTTAAACGCGGTCTTGTAGCGATCTTGCAGGTGTATCGAAATCTGATGATACCCCGACTTCAAATCCAATTTGGAAAAAAAAATTGCGCCACCCAAACGCTTCAGAAGATCGTCAATACAAGGAAGAGGTCCCGCGTTCTTGACGGTTTGTGCATTGAGAGTGTGGTAATCGATGCATAGGCGAAGATCCTTGGTTCTTCTTCCCCACGAAGAGAACCGACGCACCATTGGGTGAGCTACTAGGCTTGATCCAGCCTTTGTCCAACAAATCATCGAGCTGCGCGTACTGTAAGTTCCTCCTCGCTCATGCGATGGATGCAACCTTTCGGCGGCACGACACCGGCCTCGAGAATGACCTCGTGGGAGATTAGTCGATCCAGCACCACGCCGGTAGGTGACTCGAAGATGTCGGCGAATTCGTCAAGCAACCGTACCACCCGGGGGTCCGAAGACAAGTCCGTGGGTTGAGATTCGGCTACCGCGACGATTCGAAGAAAACATAGGTGTTACGACCCTGGTCATTTCCCAAGTGCAAATTCACAATGAAAGACAATGCCACCCAATTACGAAAGAAATGAAAGCATTTGCAAAGAGATAAAGACAAGAGGAGAGAGAAAGAAGGTTAGCTTCACACTCCCTTGAACACGACGTTGCTGCTCGAGCTGCAGCCAATGTTCCATGTGAGCGTGGAAGTCAACTTCCTTAGACTCCTCCCAAGGCTCGGTGTATAGCGCATTAATTGCGGCAACCTTGGATTCAACGTCGTTTCGGGCTTCAAGAGTAGGCTGTTGATCAGATTCAGGCTCATCGGAGGGGCCTGCAACTGATGTTCCAGCTTCCCTTGTTGTAGGGAGTGCTGATGACTCCTTTACGCCCTTTGCCTGTTTCCCTGAAGTCTATAACAGTCCTGCACAACATGCCCAGGCTTTTTACAACGCAAGCATATGTGCAGTTTAGATCTTCTTTCCCATTCCTTCTGATTGATACGGAGGGCTTCTAAAGGCTTGGTAGATGCGTCCTCCGGCTTCTTAGGGATCTTCGCATTCTTGGGGAGGTGGACAACAGTTTTCTTACCCGAACCACGGTTAGGCCCCTTGTTTGAAGCAGTCTTTTTAAATGCATTAAGTTTTTCGTCTTCGTTTACGTTAGACTCAATGGCTGATGTGGAACAGCCCATATCGGAGTTCGACTCTAGATCGTCGTCTAGAGACAGATCATCTGCGTAGGACTGATCAGCCTCCCGATGTTCATGCAGGGCAAGCTGGTTGCTGCTTCCATACCGCTTGCGTTGTGGTTTTCCACCTGCAGCGGGCACCTTCTTACGCCTGGCGAGGTCCTTGGCCTCTAGGTTGACTAGATCCGTCATGAGCTCTCGCCAGGTGGTATGGTCTTTGAGTGCCAACAGGGAGAGGTATTATTTAGGGGCCACTCCCATGACTACATCCATACAAGACACGTCGGTCATTTCCAGATCTGGAGTGGTGAACAAACTAGTCAAGTGCTGTTCCAAAGCTTGCATGGAGGACCTCCATGTTTGGCCCTTGAGCGCCTCAAGCTTCAGCCTAGCCTTGAGCGCAGCATGCTTATCTTGGTACCGTGTGATGAGAAGATCCTCAAGGGCGCGTACAGGAGTTACTTTCAGACACTCGGTCAGGTCAATTCTTTAATAACCTGTAGCAACAGCTTGGAGCTCAATGTGATTCTGTACGGCGGGCTCAGTATTAGTGCCCATGATCATGCTTCGGTCTTCCTGCGGCGTCCGCATGACCTCGAAGTATGAGCGCATGGAACTAATCCAAGAGGTGATATCCGCTTTCCCGTCGTACTTGGATGGCAAGGTGGCCGTCCGCTTGTCCACTACGGGACCGTTGTACTGAATGCCAGTAAGGACTGTGGCGTTTTGGGCTGATGTCCCTGCATTTGGGACTATGACTAGTGCAGAACTGCCGGCGCTGCCGCTCGAGGAGCTGGCACCGGTTCCTGCGCTCGTCACAGTTCCACTTGCTCTTGCCATGAGGACTGTGTTAGATTGAGAGACTGGGAGTGCAGCAGGTCGAAGGTTAGGAGGGCGGGGGGCAGACAGTTGAGACTGTTTGAGGCTGATTATCTCCGCTTGTAGCTCTTGGTTCCGCTGCTCCAGTGCTGTTACACGGGACTCAAGGTCTTCTAAGTTTCGCAGTCGAACCAAGGCTGCTACGACAGCAGCTAGCCTCTCCTGGAACCGGTCAGAATTGGCTTCCGGGACCAGAAGGAGGGCCACCTGGGCAGCTATGCTTGTGGCTCTAGCTGCTGCCTCTGCCTCCCTTTCCCTCTGCACGGCATCATCATAAAACTTTTGGAAGAACGGTTTCTCGTTCTCGTCTGTCTTTTGACGTATTTAGCGGTATCCGCAAAGACAGTTAAATTCTTACGCGCTTTCGCGCCTTTGTGGGATTCAGACGCGAAGCGTCTGCTCTTCGAGCCGTAAGGTTGCCACCGCATACTTCGAAAGATGTGTTGCCTCTAGCATGGCCTGCCATTGGGCAGGTGTGATGTCTGCCATGCCGGAGGAAGGGGTGTTAGCAGTTCTCTCAAGAGGGGTTCGCTCTCTCCTCACGTTTGGACGAACATTCCTCTTGCCTTTCCTCACACTCTCAAAAAGAACACCTTCTCTCTCCCTTATTCTCTCTCCGCTGTCTGCACACGCGTCTCAATACTGGACATAGATAGTTCAGATGAAAGAAACAATTAGTGAATCACACAGAGTAGAAGGTAGAACTTTAGCCGGAGCGGCGATTCATTTGGACTTAGAGAACGACACGCAGCAGAATTTAAAAAAAAAAAAAAAAAAAAAACAGAAGAGAGGACCGACTTATAGAACAACCCCGATCAGATTAGTTGGAGATCCCCTCTTGTCTAACCTGACAAGGGACATGTACCACAATAAATCAGCCGAAGAAAACTAACTGCAGCAATGGAGATTTCAAGGGGTGCAGACGGTCGCCGAGCCAGATGCGAGGCGGTATGTGATATCATGCAGTAAGACCAGTCAAGATCCCCTTGAAAGGAATGCCCTTGCTAGCTGTATGTCCCCCAAGTTCAGCGCAACAAAGAGATGCACAGGCGGCAGCAGATGTTGGCCCGAAAGGTCCTATCTCGTTGGGTCAGGTCCCACTGAGTCCCGGAGGTCCCAAGTAGGTCGTGGACCAGGACCGACGAAATAGGAGTACCAAGTCAGTCCCAAACTACCTCTACGGTACTGAAAAGGAAAAGACAACTTTCAGCAAGAACTTACCCCTACAGCCATTCAGAAATGAGAAGACATTGCACCGTAGAAAGGTATGTCATTTAGAACAGATACATCATCCATCCATCCACCAAGTGAGAAAGCAATCCACATGCTCACACACACAACCAAGACCGCAGAGAAGAGGAAGAGAGCCCAACACACCCCCAACAGGCCATGAAGCACCAAGTAACCTCCCACGGGCTAACCAGGTCACACGACACTTACCTGTGAGGCCCGGCCTCCAAAGATGGATAACGACTTACCCCCCTCTCTCATAAGTCCTCCTGACCTCTAGCCACCACTACACGAAGTGTCCTAGCATGACTAAGAGGGCCTTCCTACACCCCTGTTGCAAAGTCGGATCCCACGTCGATATCTGAAGACCAAAGTAGCAACTTGCAGCAATTCGATGCAGATATGGCAGCCTCCGATCAAGTCTCCCTCTTGAGGGGAAGCACAAAAGTCACTCAATGTCTTCTTGAAGTGCAGATTCCAGGTGTGAGTTCCTCTCACTCTCTACTCCCTCTCGCTTACTCCAATCAGCCTCCTTTGTGTCTCGCCACCCCATCCAAATACTCAAGCAACCTGGTCAGGTCTGATGTCGACCCTACATGACCTAACCAGGTGGGGGCAGTATCCACATACCTCACTGGCCCACTTAACCCTAACTTCCTAACCCTAATCCGAGATTTGGTTAGCCCTAACCTAATTCGGAATTAGGTTTAGGGTGACTTATTCCTCTCGCCAGCAAGTAAGTCCGCTCCGGTACCCATTGTTACGATCCTGGTCATTTCCCAAGTGCAAATTCACAATGAAAGACAATGCCACCCAATTGCGAAAGAAATGAAAGCATTTGCAAAGAGATAAAGACGAGAGGAGAGAGAAAGAAGAAGAAGAAGAAGAAGAAGAAGAAGAAGAAGAAGATATGCACCAGCAAGACCAATGACAATTCCCCCTTCTCTCTCTCCACCTTCCTCCTCCTCCTTCACTTCACCAATCTTATTCTTCTCACAATAATAATAATAACAATGAATGGATGAACCAGAATCAATATCCAAAGTTCCCTCTTACTGCTGACTCAACTCAACAACAACAACAACAACAACAAGTCCACCATAGCTACGGTTTCCCTCCTTCAGCCTCCGCTCTCATGCATAGGCTATGGCGGACTAATGAGGGCCTTGCCCTGACGTCCAAAGGACAACCCAAAGCAGCTATGGTGCTGCGCTGATGTCCAAAGGACAACCCAAAGCAGCTATGCCGCTGTTGACTGGTCCGCCATGCCTGACTCTGCCTTGAGCTTCCTTGGTGCAGCACTACCCCAACTGGGGCCTTCCAGATGCACCGCCCAACAAGGTGATGAAGATGGTGTCTACCATAGCCAGGTAAGTGCCTCACCACTCTCCTCCTTTGCCCGCTTCTTCCTCCTCCTCAAGCTGGACTGCTCGCCATAGCCAGGATGAGCTCCAGCAGCCCTTCACCTCCAAGCAGCGCTGTAGCAGCCAGCGCTGCGCTCCAGCAGCATGTCGCCAATCCTTGCATACCGCAAATGAGGAAGAGCAAAGAGCTCTTCCTGGAGATATAGCGGCCTATCCTCCCTACAGGCCCTAGACCCGGGCTACTTGGACTGGTACCGGCCTACCGCTATCCTACCGCTACTGGGCCTCTAAAAATGCCAACTTTTTGTCTTCTTCTGCTCGGCCTCCAGTACCCGACACCCCTACCTCTATTTGAGTGGTACCGGCCTACCTGCTACTTGAGTGTTTTTACCCGCTGTTCTAAGTGTCGCGGGCCTACCCTTGCTGCTTGAGTGTTTTCCCCCCTGCAACCCTCAACGTCACAGCCACAGGTAAGTACCGGCCCTGCGGGGCCCTTCAACCAACAAGTACCCTTGCGGGTCACACACACACTCAGCCGACAAGCACTTAGACAGGCATGCAAATCAGTAGGCACGCACACACAGACAGGGAAATCACAGCAGAATGCGGGAATTTCAGCAAGGCATTCATTCCTGCGGCAAATCCCATAAATCAGCAGTGTTCTCAGTCTGTGTTTTTGGCGGGTCATTACATAGGCCTATCCCGTCGGTCCGCTCGTAAGCGCAAGTGCCCCGAAAAGATTTGGCCTTACAACTTGGCACCGGGTCGAATGGTGCGGAAGAGGGATGGTACATGGCACTTCGGTGCCAAACGCGTCGCGGACCGTAAGTGTCCGCCGATGGAAGTTGACCGTGTGATCCGCACTTGCAAGCCAAGGCATGCCCAAAATGATTTTGAAGTCCTTTGTCTACTTTTGCCTTGACTACCGCTGCCCAAAAGGGAGCAGCCAGTAGGAGTCGCAATTGCCCCTGCTGGGCCTTCAGACACGGACGGACAGACAAAAGTGCGCGCTGAACAGGCACCCTCCTGTTTGAAGGCCCCTATGCTTTCTAATGGAGGCCAACTACTGTCATTACTGGAAAGACATGCAGAAAGGAGAGCGATGGAAGAATAAGACTATAGCAGGCAGTATAGAAGGGAAGGACGTCCTCTAGTCAAAGTCGAGGGAGGGGGAGTCGAGGCACTACCCTACGAAAGCATAGATTACGGACTGGAAGACCCCAACAGCAACCAAGTAGCCCAAGGAAGGGACTATTCAGCTGCTGCAGCCTACGGGGGAGGGCAACAAGGAGGAAGAGCAGGCCGAGGAAGAGGTGGAGGAAGTGGATGTGGCATCAAGGGGAGTAGTAGCGAAGATGGCTATTACGCGGGAGGTAGGGGTTATGGTTCCCCGCAAGGTGGACGCGGTTCCTCCTCCATAGGTGGAAGCGGTAGAGGGTGCAGGCCATGGCCAGACCATCCAAGGATTGCGGACGCAGAGCCATGGAAAGAGATGGGCATCGAGAATTAAGGCCAACCAATGACTAAAATGTGGTGATCCCAACCACATTGTCTACTTTTGTCTTGACTACCGCTACCCAAAAGGGAGCAGCCAGTAGGAGTTGCAATTGCCCTTGCTGGGCCTTCAGACACAGACAGACAGACAAAAGTGCACGCTGAACAGGCACCCTCCTGTCCGAAGGCCCCTATGGCAGAGACTGACATAGGCCCCCACCCAGTTAGCAGTCCAGAGACCTTTTGCGCTAGGGTCTCTCTGGGTGGTTCCCTCGCAAGCATTGGTGAGGAGCTGATCACTCATCGCCAAGCTTGGGCCAAAATGAAGAAGAAGAGCAAGAGCAGCTAATCTTAGCAGCTGTAGAAATCAGTAGAGAGCGAGTAGGTGCATTAGTTGATAGCGGATGTATGCGTAGCTACATAACCTGAAAGGAACTGCAAAAGATGCACCTCGGCATGAAGGTTTTGAAATTAGACAAGCCAGCCGTGATCAGGCTGATGGACAACTGCGAAATGAGAGTCGAAGAGTATGCCGAAGGGGTAATGGCATACTTTCGGGGGATATGGCATCTTTCGCAGGTAAGTCCCCCTGGCCTCCACCTCATCTCTCCCTCTCTCCAGCTGCAAGGCAACTGCGGCATCTCAGCTCCTAACCTTGTGCCCGGCGCTGAAGACTAACGCTAACTGTGCCCAGCGCGTCGACTTCTGAAGACTACCGCACCAAACATACCCCAAATACAGCTATAATGACCGTACGTTGTATTCGGGGGAAGGAGGTGGTCCTAAGACGGATCCTAAATGACACGACCCTAAAACAGGCCGAAACAACACTGGTCCTAAACAGTCCCTGAACACCCTACTAAACCCCTAACCGTACCGGCGGGCCCATTGGGGCTTGTGTGGGACCCATGGAATGCCACATGAGGCCTAAAGTGAAAAATGCAGTGCGGGCCCTATCGATAACAGTCAACGGCGTTATACTTGCCTTTGACTGGTTTCGACTCTTAATAAAATCCATCCGTTTCAACTGCCCATTGAGGTCGAGCAGCTAGCTAGTTTTGTCTTGTTCGTTTTCTTTTGTGCATACATGCGTGCAGTGTGTTTGCCTGTGTAAATGCCCTGACCTATTTCTGTATTTGATGGGGCATATCTGTGTTTTGCTGCAGGTTTTCAATCGTTGCAGGGCACATCTCACACTGGCACCTGCATGAGCAGTGATGGATGAAGACACAGGGTTTCCATTGGGCCGTTGCAAGGATGTAGGAACAATGCCATCAACTGAGAGAGGCAATGGATTGACCAGCTTAACCTATCGGCGGTCAACTCAGGCATCAGGGGGACGAGGATGTGGAAGAGGGGGCCCAGGTTATGCTAGGCGGGATTCAGATGATCCGATGATTGACAAGCTTGGATGGAGAGAATTCCTCGCGATTGTTCTGAAGTGGACCCACTTTGACGTGTTGAATGAAGACCTCTTTGCATCGGAGGCAAGGAATGGCGAGCCCTCCCTCCTCCTTTACTCTCCCAAGCTCTTCCCTGATTGCGTTGCAGTCATGCAGTAAAATTTCCCCTTTGTCCTTGTTTCTATGGACAACATGATCTCGTATCATTTCTGTTTGTTGGCAGACTGTTTCTGAGGTGAACAGACCCATGAATTGTGAAGAAGAATGTGTCCTTGTTGGGATGTTTTCTCTATGCAGATGCAATGCTCGTAAAAGATTGGTAGAAACGCAGTTTCATTGCCGATGAAAGTGGGCATGCGCATGCAGTGGTAGTGCTGTCAGACATTACTGTTGTTGATGGGTGGTATTCTCTATGATTGGACTCGGGGCACCGATAGTTGCAGTCCTGGAGGGGCTCATTAAGCCACCAGCCCGTTTCCCTGGAGCCTTGTTCCATCGCACAGCAAAATTGCAGTTTGAGCCTACCTAAGGGAAAAGGCTGACCATGCCTGTGAAGATCGCATCCACAACAGTTCCTTCACTTAGGGCGGGCACAAGGCTTGCTTTGGGGGGGGGGGGCACAGTCAGAACATATGCATGTTGTCTAAGGGCCCCTGAGGACACATTCTTCACACGTACTCTGCTGTATACATAAACAGTTCCTCATCCTAATCTTTGATGATTTAGTGGGAACAGAGGGCCCTATAGCGTGAGAAACAGGTGCAAAAGACACATTGTACTGACACTGGGACAAGTGCAATTACTGTTCCCAACTGCAGTGGACACTGAAGAGTCACCAATTGGAGGACCTAAGGGAAGGAGCATTGCTGGCTGCAGCGGTGCATTGACTTCTACCCTGGTTGTCAACAAGGTAGAGGATAGGACCACTATAAGCTGAGGGATGGCCTGATGTAGCATGTTCACCTCCCCTGCCAGACGGTGAAACCACTGGTTCTCTGACCCTCTGACAGGGAATGAATT